AAAGACAATGGGAACTCCAAATCCCATCACCACCAAAGGGAAGGTGGCTGGGACCTGAGGGTGGGGTTAAGCAGCCAGGTGGATATAAAAGGCAGACACATGGGCTTTGGGGATCCCCATTTTTGGCTCTCTGCCAGCTCGCAGCGTCCGGCCAGCTCTGAGAGTGACTTTGGGTTTCCAGGTCGTCGGATCGGGTAGGACGCATTAAAGACTTTATTTCCCTATTTTCTCCCTGAGTTGTACATTTTCCTTATTTCCTTTTCTCTTGTAAATAAACCTTTTATTAACCCTTTTGTGTGTGTCTGTAGTAGAGTATTCATAAGTCCCTTTAAAGCGCGCGGGTGAGGACCCACAGCCAGGAACCCGTTTAATATCGGGGTTGCTCTATAACAGAAACACTACGTGATATGCACATCAAAGACATCTTTACAGACACATCACCCAAAGCGGTGATAGTGAAGGCAAAGATAAACAGCTGGGACTACATCAAATTAAAGAGCTTCTGCACAGCAAAAGAGACAATAACAAAAACAGAGAGAAACCCCACCGACTGGGAGAACATTTTTGCACACAACACTAATGATAAAGGACTGATGACAAAAATCTGCAAAGAGCTGATGAGACTCAACAACAAAGAAAATAATCCAGTCAAAAAATGGGCAGAAGAGCTAAAAAGAAAATTCTCTGAAGAGGAAATGCAAATGGCCAACAGGCATATGAAAAAATGTTCAACATCACTTATAATCAGGGAAATGCAAATCAAAACTACCATGAGATACCATCTTACACCAGTGAGAATGGCACATATTAAAAAAATTAGCAACAACAAATGTTGGCGAGGTTGTGGAGAAAAAGGAACTCTTCTGCACTGTTGGTGGGAGTGCAAACTGGTCCAATCACTATGGAGAGCTGTGTGGAGATTTCTGGACCTACTAAACATAGAGCTTCCATATGATCCAGCAATTCCACTCCTAGGTATTTACCCAAAGGACACAGAAACATCAATTCCAAAGAGAACCTGCACCCCTATGTTTATAGCAGCACTATTTACAATAGCTAAGCTTTGGAAACAACCCAAATGCCCAAAAATAGATGACTGGATCAAGAAGATGTGGTACATATATACCATGGAATATTACTCAGCATTCAAAAAAGATAAACACATGCAATTTGCAGCAACATGGATGGCACTGGAAGGGATCATGCTCAGCGAAATAAGCCAGAAAAAAAAAGAAAAATACTGGATGGTCTCACTCATGGCAGGAATCTAGAAAACTTAAATAAGGGACCAGGAAAAAGAATAACTATAAGAAAGTAAAAATCAATATCAACAAACAACTATGAACCAGAGACACTCTATGGGGAGTGGGGGGGTGGGGAAAGGAGGGATTGGGGCCAAAATAAGGGGGTTGCAATTGTATGGGGAATATAAAAATAAAATTTAAAAAAAAACAATATTATAGTTGCATAAAAATAGACACATGGATCAATGGAACGGAAATTGAAAGCCTCGAAATATATCCATATATATACCAATACTTAATTCACAATAAAGGAGACACAACCATGCAATGGAAAAAGGAGAGTCTCTTTAACCAATGGTGGTGGGAAAACTGGATGGCCACATGTAAAAGACTGAAGTTGGATTACTCTCTCACTGCAAATACAAGATAGTCTAAATGGGTTGGGCCTCCCCGGTGGCGCAGCGGTTGAGCACTGGGTTGCGAAGCTGCCCGCAGCCTCTGCCGCGCCGGTTCGATCCCCAGCTGCTCTCCAGCCTCCGGAGGAGGGTCCCACATGGTGCGCAGACTTCTCCTGCCGCCCGCTGCTCTCCTCAGCAGTGTACTTCATCAGTCTGCCTGTTCTGCTCCCTGCTCTGGCTCTGGTGAATTCTCTCACCCTCCCGCGCTTCTGACTGTACCCAGTGCTTGTATAAATAAATAAATCTTTAAAAAAAAAAAAAAGTCTAAATGGGTTAAAGAATTAGATATAAAACTTTCAACAATAAGATACATAGAAGAAAACATTGGCAACACATTTCAGGACATGTATGATAAAGATGTTTTTGGTAAAGATAATTGAAATTACCTCAAAATTGAAAAGTTGTTACATAGCAAAAGAGTACTAGATTTAAAAAGAAAGGGCCTCCCCGGTGGCGCAGCAGTTGAGCCCTGGGTTGCGAAGCTGCCTGCAGCCTCTGCACCGCCAGTTCAATCCCCGGCTGCTCCCCGGACACCGGAGGAGGGTCCCACATGGCACGCAGACCTCTCCTGCTTCCCGCTGCTCCCCTCAGCAGTGTACTTCGGTCCTTCTGCCTGCTCTGCCCCCCGCTCTGGCTCTGGTGAATTCTCTCACCCTCCCGCGCTTCTGACTGTACCCAGTGCTTGCATAAATAAATAAAAATAAATCTTAAAAAAAAAAGAAAAGAAATACTACTACGAGGCAATAATATCCAAGTATAAAAAAAAAACTTAGTCAACAATAAAAATCCAAAGACAATTAATAAATGGGCAGCAGCTGAACAGACAACGGACCAAAGAAGATATCCTGAGAACCAACAGATACTTTGAAAAATGTCCACCATCACTTTTAGTAAAGGAGATGCAGGTCAAAACACATAAGTTATCATCTCACACCCATGAGAATGGCACCTATTAAAAAAGACCTCCAAGAAGTAGTGCTAGAGAGGATGTGGAGAAAGACGAACCCAATTACACTCTTGGTGAAAATTTAAACTGCTAGAATCAATTTGGAAAACAATCTGGATTTGCCTTTACAAACCAGAAATAGAAATACCACACGATGAGCAGTCCTACTCTGGGGCATCTATCCAGCAAACATGAAACCACCAACTCAAAAAAGTATATGCTCAATAATGTTTACTGTGGCATTGTTTACAATAGGTAAGACATGAAAACAACCTGAGTGCCAAACAGTGGAATACTATTGAGGCATAAGGAAAAACAAAATACTGCCAATTTACAATATAATGGATATAGCTGGAAAAATTACATATGTTAGTAAAATGACAAAGACAATATTGTACATTTACAAAGCAGACAATACAACAAAGAAAAATATCTATAAAAATCAGGAGACACAGGTCTCCCTGATAGCCTAGGGGTTAAGTCTCACAACTCAAAGGCACCCTGAAGACACACTAACAGCTTGAATTGGATCCCAGATCAGGGAGCTAACCCATATGGCACAGCAGACCTCTCCTGTCTCCCCTCAGCAGTGTATTTCAGTACATCTGCCCATTCTGCTCCCACTCTGTCTCTGGTGAATCCTCTCACAGCCCCCTTCCACCCTCCCATACCTCTGCCCCGCACCCTATTTCTTCTACACAAAAATAAATACAATCTTAAAAAAAAAAAAAAAATCAGCAGACACTAATAAAAGAAGTGAGGTTTCTGAGATGGAGGCAGAGAGGAAAGTGCCAAAGGGGTATGAGAGATAGTGGTGGGAAGGGGGAGTGTTGGGGAGGGAAAAGGAAAACAGTGAATTTTCTGCTATTTAGACATGCTATACAGTTAACCTAGGAAATTTCCCTTCCCATCACTCACGGTATTATTTGTTATTCTATGAACTGCCTATAATCTCCCCTTTCCCACCTACTAACATAGTTTATGTTACTTTCTCAGCCTGGAATTATTATTTGATCCTTTTAGCCATAGATCAAATTCCTATTATTTTACAAAGTCCTAATCATCTCCTTACATGCTTTATTCAATTCCTTACATCATTTCTTTATTATGTTCCATGACACTTCTTCATATATTATTTTTCTTTACATAGAACACTATAATCATTTACTTGACAAACCTTCTGAGAGTGTCACATGGAAGAAAACCCCATTGTTTATGCATCTTTGAATTTCTAATGTCTAGCACAGTGCTTGATACTAAATAGGTCCATAGTTAGAACTCAAAACCTTAATATCTGCTCTCCAAATTATCCTTTACTACCATTCAATCAAAATTTCTGTTTTCTAAAACCCAACAATCCATTATTCAATTGCTTCTCTCCTTTCAGAATTATTCAATACATGCCCCCAAATAGACATAGTGAATATTCATAAACAGAATCTTAAGTTTAAGGTTAGCTTTAAAAAACAAATCAACAACTTAAAAATCCTTGAGACACATATAATAACCACATCTATGGAAAACTACAGAGGGAATGAACTGACAAAAGGAGGGAAAAATTAAACTTGATGAAGAAATATACCATGTTGAAACTGAAATTGATATTTAAAACTAAATCAATTCTTCCTCCACAAAATATTTCATTGCAATGCCACTATATATCAAAACCTGTTTTGTTAGTCCTAATATTCACCCAGAAAGAAATAAAAGACACAGTATGTTCTACCATGTACTGATAAAATGTACAAAATCCATAATAATTTAAAATGGCACAGGACAGAAAAAAAATCAAGAATACCCAAGACTTTAATAATGACTCATGGGGGCCTCCCCGGTGGTGCAGCGGTTGAGCGCTGGGTTGCAAAGCTGCCCGTGGCCTCCACGACGCCGGTTCGATCCCCAGCTGCTCCCCGGCCACTGGAGGAGGGTCCCACATGGCATGCACACCTCTCCTGCCACCCGCTGCTCCCCTCAGCAGTGTACTTCCGTCCTTCTGCCTGCTCTGCCCCCCGCTCTGGCTCTGGTGAATTCTCTCACCCTCCCACGCTTCTGACTGTACCCAGTGCATGTATAAACAAAAACAAACAAATAAATAAATAAAGCATGCCTCTATTAAAAAAATAATAATAATGACTCATGGTATTTTAAATAACTGTACAAAAAAAATAGATTATTCAAAAATAAACTGAAAAAGTTGATTCACCATGTAGGAAGGGGAAAGTTAACACACCTCATTATATTCTACAGTCAACTCTAAATAGATAAAAAGATCTATTTCTAAATAATTCATCCTTCTTTCTACCTTCCTTACTCTTCCTTGAATACTCTTAAAGCCATGAGGCAAAGCCAAGCATGCTGCAGAGGAAGGAGCCTTCCCCCCACCCCCATCCCAATGTAATTATAGTCCCAAGTAAGATTGGTTAGCACCATAAAGGTGTTGAGGGGGCAGGTGGGGAGAAGTGGTGTCACAGTAAAATATCAGAAATTGAGCAATGTGAGGATATAAACCTGGGGAGAGGGAGAGAAAGTGGTACTGGAATGAGGCTGAGTATCAAATCCCAAAAATGACACAAAGGGCAGTCAGGTAAGGAAGAAGCAGCAACCCAGAACAAGGTATGAGGTCTGAAAGAGATTAGGATAACAACAAAAGAAGGCTTGTTAATACAAGAGCAATTGATCAAGTAAGTAAATACATAGAGGATAATGGAAGTCAGGTTTCTTCCATTGTCATAAATATGTTTGGCATGAGTCATAAATATGAAAAGAAATGAATCAAAATGTATCCGCTATTGCTAGATTAGATTTGGGGAAATTAATGAGTATGGTTTTCTTTATATAGACAGATAAATAAAGAAATACATATAGATATATATTTCTGTGTATATACACAGAACTACATATAGATATACACACACACATATATTGTATATACACAGAACTACATATAGATATACACACACACATATACATCACACACACACAATCAGAAATATCATTACAACTTCAATCTTCAATATATAAAGATAAGTATAGGAAAAAATGGTGTGAATGTTTGCATATCTTTGTATCTATACGAATGCATGTATTTCCTAGCTATCCACACTGACAGAACAGGGTGTAGCAATAGCCCATTAAAAATAAGCACACACACATGGGCCTTCCCAGTGGCACAGCGGTTGAGCGCTGGGTTGCGAAGCTGCCCGCGGCCTCTGCGGCACCAGTTCGATCCCCGGCTGCTCCCCGGCCACCTGAGGAGGGTCCCACATGGCGCGCAGACCTCTCCTGCCGCCTGCTGCTCCCCTCAGCAGTGTACTTCGGTCTTTCTGCCTGCTCTGCTCCCTGCTCTGGCTCTGGTGAATTCTCTCACCCTCCCGCGCTTCTGACTGTACCCAGTGCTTGTATAAACAAAACAAACAAACAAACAAACAAACAAATAAATAAAACATGCCTCTATTAAAAAAAAAAAAGCTTTAAAAAAAAAAATAAGCACACACTGTTCACCTTGGTTTCTAAATATCAATCTCACTTAAAAGGAATCAAGACTCTTTGGAGAAGAGTGGAAGGAGCGAGGTACTGGTGACGTCAAGCTCCTAAAACATAAGGAGAAAGGGACCATCCGCCTCCTCATGAGGAGGGACAAGACTCTGAAGATATGCGCCAACCATTACATCACACCAATGATGGAGCAGAAGCCGAATGCGGGCAGTGACCGAGCCTGGGTCTGGAACACCCATGCTGACTTTGCTGATGAGTGCCCCAAGCCAGAGCTGCTGGCCATCCGCTTCCTCAATGCTGAAAATGCACAGAAATTCAAAACAAAATTTGAAGAATGCAGGAAAGAGATCGAAGAGAGAGAAAAGAAAGGATTGGGCAGAAACGAAAATGCTGAGGAAGTGGTGGAAAAGCTGGAGACTCTCTCTGTGAAAGAAAGGAGCGAGGAGCTGGGCAAGGCGGACACCAAGGAGAAAGCTGAGGACAAGCAATAAGTCGTCTCCCTTGTTTTCCTTCCCTTCTTTCTTTCCCTCCTTTTAAAAAAATCTTTGCCTTGCCCCTCTTTGGTTTGTTTTTATTCTGTTTTGTTTTTACAAGGGACTTTATATAAAGAACTGAATTCAAAAAAAAAAAAAAAAAAAGACTCTTTGGAGAACGGTGGTGACTCCAGGGGTACAATAAACCTAGAAGTAAAGAAATCTCCCAGAATAATAGAAACATTTCAGAAGACACAGAAGCAGTTTGAAGCTGTCCGCTAGCCAAATATGAGACAATACAGAGTATCAAAATTAATGATAGTAATGAAGAATGAGTGACCCATTTTATTCAAAATGAAATAGCATGGTCTCTCTGGTGTCGCAGGGGTTAAAGTCTCAGTGCTATAGCCAGCCACTGCAGGATGAATTCAATCTCCACATGAGTTCAATACCCAGCCAGGGAGCTAACCCACATGGTGGCAACAGACTTCTTGTCTCGCCTTCTGCTCCCCTGAGCAGTGTATTTCAGTAGATTCGTCTGTTCTGCTCCCCACTCTGTCTCTGATGGATCCTCTCACTCCCCTCTGCGCCTCTGGCCTACACCCCAGTTTTTGTGTGCTTAAATAAAAATCTTTAAAAATTAATTAAATAGCAAAACACATAGCCATGCTAATGTAGTTAATTGAGGAGTTGAGTTAGTTTTTCCTTACAGCAGAATGCCAAATTTAAAATAAAGGAAAAGAATCAGAAAACCACCAATTGCCACATTATAGTAATTAATAAAACCAAGAAACATCAATGGATGCTGAAGTAGTGAGTGAAAAAGCACAAGGAACAAATATTTACAAATAAAGTACATCCCCACAAAATGCTTATTGATTATAAACAGGAAAAAAGATTAACTTACAGTGAAAAAACCTTGCAGACACCACCTTAACCAAGTGATCAAGGTACCACCAGTAATGGGAAAACTAAAATCACATAACACCGGATAGGATGCAAGGAGAACAACACAGCATCACTTCTGTGACATTCCTCACCAAAACCATAATCTTAATCATGAAGAAATATAAAAAAAAAAAAAAAAATCCAAATATGTGGCCATCCTTCAAAATAACTAGCCTGTAATCTTCAGAAGCATCAAAGCTACAAAAGTCAAGGATACCGGTAATACTTGAGGTAAAAGAGACTGAAGAGTCTCTGCAATGTGATCTTTTTATAGACAACATTATGAGGAAAATTGGAGAAACAGGAACAAAAATGAAAGAAATAATGAATGAAGTTTGTGTATTAGACAGTAATAATGCATAAATGTGTATGTTCTGATTGTGTTAGTTATAATCTGGTCATACAAGAAAAAGTAATGCTTTACAGTAACTATATAGAAATACACTCTGAAGTGTCAGTATTATCCTAATACAATGGAGGAGAGGAAGAGCTCTTTGTACTATTAAAAGCAGCCTTTAAGCTTCTGCATAGCAAAAGAGACAATAACAAAAACAAAGAGAAACCCCATCGACTGGGAGAACATTTTTGCACACAACACTAATGATAAAGGACTGATCACAAAAATCTGCAAAGAGCTGATGAGACTCAACAACAAAGAAAATAATCCAGTCAAAAAATGGGCAGAAGAGCTAAAAAGAAAATTCTCTGAAGAGGAAATGCAAATGGCCAACAGGTATATGAAAAAATGTTCAACATCACTTGTAATCAGGGAAATGCAAATCAAAACTACCATGAGATACCATCTTACACCAGTGAGAATGGCACATATTAAAAAAATTAGCAACAACAAATGTTGGCAAGGTTGTGGAGAAAAAGGAACTCTTCTGCACTGTTGGTAGGAGTGCAAACTGGTCCAACCACTATGGAGAGCTGTGTGGAGATTTCTGGACCTACTAAACATAGAGCTTCCATATGATCCAGCAATTCCACTCCTAGGTATTTACCCAAAGGACACAGAAACATCAATTCCAAAGAGCACCTGCACCCCTATGTTTATAGCAGCACTGTTTACAACAGCTAAGCTTTGGAAACAGCCCAAATGCCCAAAAATAGATGACTGCATCAAGAAGATGTAATACATATACACCACGGAATATTACTCAGCATTCAAAAAAGATAAACACATGCAATTTGCAGCAACATGGATGGCACTGGAAGGGATCATGCTCAGCGAAATAAGCCAGAAAGAAAAAGAAAAATACCGGATGGTCTCACTCATAGCAGGAATCTAGAAAACTTAAATAAGGGACCAGGAAAATGAATAACTATAAGAAAATAAAAATCAATATCAACAAAAAACTATGAACCAGAGACACTCTATGGGGGGTGGGGGCGGGGAGGGGAGGGATTGGGGTCAAAATAAGGGGGTTGCAATTGTATGGGGAATATAAAAATAAAATTTATTTTTAAAAAATCTTTAAAAAAATAAAAAGAAATAAAAAGAAAAAAAAAATAATAAATAAATAAATAAATAAAAGCAGCCTTTACCTAAGTTTGAAATTATTTCAAACTTGAAAGGAAAAACAATTATTTTTAAAAATAAATTTTGAAAGTACCCTGGGGTAGTGAAAGATATATTTTGCATGGGCATCAAAGGCAAAAACAGTAAGCATAATATCTAAATTACATAAAAAATTTCTAGTACTTCTGTACTAGAAAAAAACTAACAAGCTAGAATAGCAACAATAAAAACAATGAAGACAAAATTAAAGTTAAAAAACAAATGGTGGTTTTCTTTGCCAAGTAAGCATCATAATGGCCACCATGTCTAAGTCAGAGTCTCCCAAGGAGCCCGAATAGCTGCAGAAGCTATTCATCAGGGGTTTAAGCTTTGAAACAACCATGAGTGTCTGAGAAGTCATTCTGAGTAATGGGGAATGCTCACAGACTGTGCAGTAATGAGAGATCAAAACATCAAGTGATCCAGAGGCTTTGGGTTTGTCACTTGTGCCACAGTAAAGAAGGTGTATGCAGCCATGAACGCAAGGCCACACAGGGTGGATGGAAGCGTTGTGGAACCAAATAGGGCTGTGTCAAGAGAAGATTCTCAAACCCCTGTTACCCACTTAACTGTGAAAAAGATTTTTGCTGGTAACATCACTGAAGATCATCACCTAAAGAGATTATTTTGAGCAGTATGGAAAAACTAAAGTGATTGAAATCATAACTGATGGAAGCAGTAGCAAGACAGACTTTGCTTTTGTTAACTTTTGATAGCCATGATTCTGTAGATAAGACTGTTGTTCACAAATACTGTACTTTGAATGGCTGCAACTGTGACGTAAGGAAAGTCCTATCTGAGCAAGAGATAGCCAGTGCTGTATCCAGCCAAAGAGGTCAAAGTGGTTCTGGAAACTTTGGTAGTAATCATGAAGGTGATTTTGGCAGGAATGACAACTCCGGTCATGGAGGAAACTTAAGTGGTTGAGGTGGCTTTGATGGCAGCCATAGTGGTAGTGTCAATGGTGGCAATGGGAATGGCTATAGTGGAAAATGTAATGAGGTGGTTATGGAGGTGGCAGCCCTGGTTACTCTGGAGGGAGGAAAGGCTATGGAAGTGGTGGACAAGGTTATAGAAATTAGGACAGTAGCTATGGTGGAGTGAAAGCTATCATAGCTATAACAATGGAGGCAGCTTTGCCAGTGGTAATGGAAACAATTTTGGAAGTGGTAGAGGCTACAATGATTTTGGCAATTACAACAACAAATTTTCTGATTTTGGATCCATGAAAGGAGGAAACTTTGGAGCAGAAGCTCAAGCCCCTGTGGTAGTAGAGCCTAATACTTCACCAAACCACGAAACCAAGGTGGCTATGGTGATTCCAACAGCAGCAGTAGGCATGGCAGTGGCAGAAGGTTTTAATTAACTGCCTGGAAACAAATCTGAGCAGCAGAGGAGAGCCAGAGAAGTGACAGGGAAGCTACAAGTTACAAGAGATTTGTGAACTCAGGGTCTATCTGCTACAAAGAAGACATGTTCTAGACAATACTCATGTGTATAGACAAAATACTCAAGGACTGTATTTGTGACTAATTGTATAATAGGCTATTTTAGTTTCTGTTCTGTAGAAAGTACAAAACATTCCAGCAAAGGAATTTTAACATAGATTTTTTTTTCACTCATGCAGATGATTACTAAGTGTATATAGTCCGTGATGATGAATAAATGTCTTTTAAAAATAAGTAAAATAAATATTTAAAAATTATAAATATGGGCAAAGGCATGTCTGTAATATAAAAACACTTTACAAGAAGACATAAAAATATCTAAAATGAAGTACTAAAATGAAGAGTTCTTGAGCCCCCCTGGTAGCACAAGAGGCTAAGCACTACACTATGAAGCAATCCACAGCCTCTGCAGCACACGTTCGATCTCCACCCAGCCAGGGAGAAACCCACATGGCACAGCAGACCTCTCTTGTCTCACCTGCTGCTCCCCTCAGCAGTGTGTTTCAGTCAGTCTGCCTGTTCTGTTCCCCACTCTGTCTCTGGTGAATCCTCTCACTCCCCTGCATCTCTGGCCTCTACCCCCAGCTCTTGTATGCACAAATAAACAAATCTTATTAAAAAATTAAATAAAATGAAGAGCTCTTTAATGTCAATTAATAAACATAAATAACCTTAAAATTTTTTTACATAGTTGACTTTACCAATACCTAAAAAAAGAAAAATTCTAACACTATAATTATTTTTCACTAAGAAGAATAGCAAAGATTGTTTTAACGGTACTACACAGAGCACTTAATAGGATAGAAGACTATAAGCAATCTCATGTATCATTATCATAGCATAAATCAGAAAACACATCCTGGAAGGGCAATTTCATAAAATGTATTTTTGAAGCTTCCAAAATGTTCATACTGACTTACAAAAAGATTCTATTAATATGTACATGGCCTGAACCTCAAGGAGGTTCTTCAACAATAAAGGAATCCTTGGATTAAAAATTATCGGGACTAATGGTATTCTGTATTCATGCTACATACTCACTCAAAACAATTTCAAAAATATAATTTGCTGACCCAAAAAAGTATGCAAGGTAAGTTTTAAAAACAGACCAAACAATATAAGCGATATAAACCAATATTTTATACTATCCTTAAAAATGCATAAAAAGCATCTAGAAGGATCTGAATG